TGTAATTGACTCCAGTATTATGCCCAAAACTGGAGTCCTTCGAGATGTGGTCCAAAGACTTTCCTAGACAAATGCACTAGTAGGAGCATTCTGCTGAAAGTGGTCCTGATATTGCTAATTTATTTTGCAAAAGTTTTTTCATCTGTCTATGTGAGTGCTAATCCGTCGACACATATCAGATGCATGACCCGTCACTTGATACTATAAAAAAAAAATTATTTTTACTAGCGCAGTGGTTTCTTGAGAAAGACTTCGTCTGGAGAAGTACTGCCACCCTACACTTGCTGCGGAGAAATCGGTGAACATACATACAGCCGAACATATAACCTCCTCATTTTTTTCAAATCGGTTAATAAAATGTGAACTTTGGGGGAATTCAAAATAAACAAAAACAATAATACTCTATACTCTATAATTATAATATAATATGCTATATTATAATTATAGAAAGATATTGCGTAATTATAATAATTTCTTGGTTATAATATTGGTCGTAAATTCTTTTTTTAATATCTAGGCACATCCTTATTTTCATAAACTGGCCATAATATAACAGTTGCAGTGCCGCTCTGAGCTTCGAATCGCAAAGATCTGTTCTGATCAGAAGTCTCATGTGCAATTTCACCAGCACCCTTACCCTTCAACAGCTAAACGCAGTAATGCTAACATTACTGCTTGGCAGCAGAAATGGGTAAGGTGGCAGTACTTCCCTGGACGAACTCTTTCACAAGGAGCTCTACTGCTACTAAAATTGCGTGAAATGCTATTCGACTGTTTTTTATGCCATGTGCCCTTTCTATGCAGGGTGGCCAACTTATTGACGCGACCTGACGGGCGATTTGGGGATCGGATGATGGAGCTGGAGTGGGGCAGGACATATTACGAGACTAGCGCAGGATCGAGGTGAATGGCACAAACTACAAAGACCCAGCATTGGGTGAACTGGGACTGTGGATGATGAACGCAAACGGTGTATTCTTTATTTTAGCTAATTATGTCTTTGTTTTTAAGCCGTCTGTATAATAATAATAATAATAATTCATTTATTCGCTTCAAATAGGGTAGGGTACATTACACATGTTGATGGTAAAAATTAAATCAGAACTTAAACCTATTCGGCCTTCTAAAATAAAAGCATGCAAATACAATAATAAAATAATACATTGGTGGATTGAGATTCGATTTTAAAACAATAATTAGGCAACAAATTGATAAATTTAAGATAATTGATTTAATTTGATATGTCAGAATCGTGTATGTCATAATTTAATAATAATAATATATATATTTTTTTTAATGATAGGAAAAATGTATGCATCAATTAATTATTCTTTATGATTCATGAATTCGTCAATAGAGTAAAATAAATGATCAAAGAGCCACATGCGCAATTCCTTTTTAAAATTAGTCAATGGTAGAGGCTTAATGCGATCTGGTATACGATTAAAAATTTTTCCACACATTACATACGAGTTATTTAGAAAACGTTTTGTTTTGGGTATTGTATTTAGTACGATTTTATTGGGCTTCCTTAGGCTTCTCAATGTTACGTCCTTCGCTATTAAGAATTTCGATAGATTTCGTTTCACGAATATACCAACTTCGAAAATGTACAGGCATGGGAGGGGCAATACTCTTAGTGTTTTAAAGTGAGGACGACATGAGATATACGGTGCTACATTGCTTATGGCACGTATACATCGCTTTTGAGCAATAAAAACCTTCGCAAAATCTGTTCCGTTGCCCCAAATTACGATACCGTATTACCGTACAGACTCAACATACGCAAAATAGGCAGTCCTGGCTGTGCATTTATTCGCTACTTTTGACAATTTGTAAAGAGCAAACGCAAACCTATTTATTTTAGCACATACTTTGTCCGTTTGATCCCTCCAATTCATCTTTTGGTCTATAATTAATCCTAGTATCCTGTACCTGCAGCCCCTGCCTGTATTTTACAAAAATGGAAGATTCAAATACGTGATTTTCATTACAATTTCTCAGTAATAACACAGAATAAGTAATACATTGAAATTAACGAATTGTGAGAACGTACTCCCAATTTTTGAGTAATAGGCGACAATTAAGTCTGCCTTATTAAATTTCTTGAACATAATATAATTATTTCTACGAGTTCTTAATTAAGCGTTTTTGTCGTGTAATCCAAAACAAGATAAGAGTAATTACTGTATTTCTTTACTTAATTCTTTATATGAAATAAAATATAAATAACATACACAAAAGCTTGATAATAAAAGACGACTCGCAACTGTACCCGGAGTTTTTGTACGTATCAAATAACAGATTAGAACGAACAAGTCGTGCGCCTTGTGGTAAGTGATGCCTGTCCATAACAGTTGCTGTGCCATTAAAAGCTTCAAATAGCAAAAATTTGAAGGCCACTGCCACTGTGCCCATCATTCTTCTACTTACCGTGTCGATGGTATCGATTATTAATACACAGGTCGAAAATTCCTTCGAACCGGCTGGATTCGAACCAACGTCTTCTAGCAAACCTGGAAGCTGGAAGACGTTGGTTCGAGGATTTTTTCCCAAGTGTTCGATTTTTGTATTAGTGGAAAAATAATTGAATATCATGGTGGTGAAACCACTCAAAACATTCGCCAATAGTACTCAAGGATACACCAATTGAACGGGTAGATAGTTCCAAATATTCGGGCATCTTAATTACCAAAGACTCCAGGTGTACACCTGATATTGTTGCACGAATTGCAATGATAAAAACAGCTTTTAACCATAAAAAAAACAACTGTTAACAGCTCACGCGATGCGCTCCTCCTACCGCAAAATGGCGGCTATTTGGTTTCGCAAATTAGAAAAGCAAAGCTTTTGAGATGTGGGGCTGGAGGATGATGAAGGGTATAAGTTGGATAGAAAAGAAAACTAACGAGGAGGTATTGAGGGTGGTGATCGAGAAAAGAACGATCCTGAATACTATAGAGTATAGACGCGGGAAAATGACTGGACATTTGATACGACACGACAACCTCCTTAAGACCATTTGTAGGGAAAGATCGAGGGGAAGAGGGGAAGAGGTCGACTTAGGCGAAGTTACATATACCAAATAAAGGAAAAGGCCGGTGTCGTGTCGTATAAGGAGGTCAAGGAGCTGGCTTGTAGGAGAGAGGTCTGGAAGAGGCTCCAACGACAAGAGTATAACTCTTAAGTTTGACGAAGATGGTGGTCAAACATCGTGGCATTCAATAAAAAACTTAAAAAATTTCAAGTTGTGTGGAATTGTTTTTTTTTTTTTATTGCGACTCGACAAAATGACTGCACCGCGCCTGATGGAAAGTGCGAATACAGTCCAGAGATGAGAGTAACGGATGGAAAACACAAATATCTTCACTCCGTCACTATCATTTTGCCGGTCTGGCCAAATGCACTGGATGTACACCAACTGATCCCTGAACGCGATTCGCAAAAGCGTTTCACTGTGGAGGGTTTTCCGCCGTGTGTACTGTGGTCGCTATCCAGTCGGCACAGAGCCTACCACAATGCTAAGCAGATGGACACTTGTGACGCCCTCGGTCGCCTCTTACGACCCCCACGGGCATGTATGGGGAGGCGACAATGTATTCTTAAGCCGTCGCCCCACGGCTAAAATTATTAAAGTGACATCTCTAGACAGCTGCTGGTAGCTGTAAAGGTATTTTGCTGAGTGAAGAATCAGATTTCTCACAGAAGGCGCTACGGCAAAAAAATCGTTAAAAACCAAAACAAAGACCTGTCATAGAAGAATCCGTAAGGTCCGCCAGTTCGATCCGTGGCTTTTAGGTGGCATAGCGCCTGACACGGTTTGCTGGAAGACGTAGGTTCGAATCCAGCTGGATCGAAGGAATTTTTTCTAAGTGTTCTAAGTTTGTATTAATAATTATAACATTTGTTATAACAAAATTGAGGGCAAACATTATTTTATTGAGTTGGAAATCGAGTTTTGTTCAAATTTTTTTTTTTTATTTTTATTTTTTTTTTATTGTGACTCGGCAAAATGACTGCACCGCGCCTGATGGAAAGTGCGAATACAGTCCAGAGATGAGAGTAACGGATGGAAAACACAAATATCTTCACTCCGTCACTATCATTTTGCCGGTCTGGCCAAACGCTTCTTCACACTACGTTTGAAGGACCCGATGTTATAGAGGGGAGGGAATACATGCGCCGGGAGTTGGTTCCACAATTTGATGGTTCGGCATAAGAACGAATTGCCAAACTTTTTAGTGCGGGACGGTATTAAACTGACAGATAATTAAATTAAAAAAAAGAAAAAAGAAATTGACAGATATTATTACAAAAGTTTACTGCTTGGTGATCTAAATGACTAGATTAGCCTTTTATGTTAAATTGATTCGCCATTTTCAAAATGGCATTGAAACAAATCGATACAGAACGTCGTTAGATGGCCTAAACTAGAATCGATTTTCATGAAAATCGAATCTTAATGTGCAACATTAATAGAGGGAATACACAGGATTTCAAGAGGGTGTTGTGTGGAATTGCCTCTTTTTCGTCAAAAACATTTTTGTTAACTGCCTCCGTGCCCGAACGGTTACCATGCGTCCCAGTTCGCTTCCCGGGCCGAGAGAAATATTTGTATGGCCTACATTCATTTCTCTCGTGAGTTTGGGTGTAAATTGTGGTTGTCTATGCGTGTGTCCATGGCAACCGCGACACAGGGTTTCCCTGGTGCGGGGCTATGTTGAGTGTACGCGTTATTATTATTATTACATCGAAATTTGTAATAAGTATGTAATTGTACCAAATTCTGTATTTTCCGTTTCTGCCCGATTTATGAGGCAGAAATGGGTTAACCGGTTAAAATGGGCTTATGTTATGAAATATTTAGGCATCACAGTGTTAATCAGTTGATTAAACATAACGCCCCTTTACGTTAATCAACAATCAACGCATCACCGCACCACCCTGCCAAGCGATCGCATCTTTGGCATCGCCCGCGTCGCCCCAAATCAGTATAATTGGTTCAGTTGGACGCAAACTGCCATATTGAGTGATCTCGTGGAAGGTCCGCCACTTGGTCAGGGGCTGCTGGCACTTCGAGGTTTGACAGGTTAGTGAACTTTTGCATTGTCCGCGCTGAGGCCGTCACGTGGAATACGTGCTAGAAAGATAGGGTACAAATGTGATTGAGACGAAATGATCGAACAATTGAATAAGCTTTGGGGGCTTTTATAACTTGTTTAGGCAGTTAATACAAAGAAAAATTCTGATAACAAACTAGTGGAAAAATTTCACAACAAAAAATCGAGGTGGTAAATCATCAATTTGTTTGCTTGTTTGTAGAGAGCCTCTGGGTTTGCGATTATACATCGAAGAACTTTCGTTTGTGTAAAAATTATACTAACTTCTTGTTAACACATTTGTACAAGCTACGCACTATGCCGCCTTAAACATTTGTAAGTGATGCAGAACAACATATTTATACATACATTTATTGACGACATTATCATTATTTGTTACATTAATTTTATAGCATGTAGAAGAAACGTTTATAGACGTTTGCAGTGTGCATGAGAAAAATATCTGCAATAGGGCATCATTCGGCGAAAGCACGATGCACAAATGTGTTAAAAAAGAAGTGGTCGTAGGCGGGTGGCGGCGCTATAGTTTTGATTTCTAAGTTACGTACATTTGAGAATATTCGGCAACAAACATCTCGCTAACGGTGTAAAGGAAAACGTAGTGGTGAAACGTGCATGTCGAATAAGTTTCACAAAGCTTGGAAAACGGCATAGGTTCACAAACTTTCTGACTAACCGCCTACTTAAAACCAAAAAAAGATACCACAAAAAACACGTATTTTTAAGTTAACTTAACGCAAAAAAAATCACAAGGAAAAACAGATTACATACAAATAATTGTTTGACATATAATTGCAATTAAAATTAGAGGAAAAATGCAAAGTAGACAGTCTAGTACGGTCTGTGTTGCAGCGTTGTGCTAAGACGGAACTTATCTCGGCATAATAATATGCTGCAGTAACTTACCACAGCGCTGATTTTCAGTAAACCCGTAGAGCTCGACGCCAGCAATAAACGCGAAAAATTATAAATACTGTTACAAATTACATTTACTATTATTATATATTATGATTAATATATAAATAAATATAATATAAAAGCAAGCTAAGATAAATAATGATAATATCAAAATTCCTACATACTAAAACCCAAATAAATGAGATTATAGGGTTATTTATACACCGTCAGCGAACCTTTTACGTCAAAAATGGAGGACCAATTGCTTCGAGGCCCTACCGCCCGCCCTTGGACTCTTCAGCGCCCATTGGGGGGCGATAGCGACAACTTTGGGAAACAATGGCCTAAATCATCTCCTTAGGGGAGAGGGACGGCAGTCGGGCAAAGAATGTGTTGATGAAATGTCGTCAAGTGACAATTGGATTGGAATGTCTTACGTATGTCTCTTGTGTCCAGTGTTATGCCACCAGCACCAGATATGGACGAAAAGAAGATCGATATGCGTCACAGCAAGCTCAAGGCGGAAGAGGCAGCTCTCCTGGCCGGCGAGTTAAAGAAGCCCTCGTGGCAGTCCAAGAACGAGGGCATCCACGAGAGGGTCAGCTTCGAGGACTCCATTTGGGGCTTCGACCTGGCCGGTGGCTCTTTTTATAAGACGCCTTTGAGAGTTGTTCATGTAAGTTGGTTTATGTTTTTGTGGTTAACTGCAAAAAGCACTTCCTATATCTCCTAGTACAAAATCTGTAAAAAGAATCCTAAACAAAAAAAAATGTAGGTATATATAGCGGTTTTCTTGTAAAATTTCGAGGTAAGTTTGTGTTTTTTCTATAGTGAAAATTTTTACGAATCGTGTTTTCACACCGTATAGTAATCAGAGCATGTTCTCAATTTTACTATATATTATTTCAACGTGATTGATCCAACACTTAAACAACCATTTGAAGTACTATACGGTAATATACTCTTGACGGTTTACAGCGGAATTGGATGATGAGATTCGCTTCCCGGTAGTGTCAATTTCGGTAATGAATTTTTCTAAATTTGTCTCGGTCAGATTGTTCTGTGCGGTTCTATGTGTACCCATACTATTTCAGGAATTTCAGTTTGAGAAGAAACAATATTATTGGGAATGAAACAGCATGTAAACTCAAAAGTCTAGTCGTTTCTCAATACATTATTTATAGATTATGCTTTAAATAAATAAAATCGTATATAAACTTTATCTCTTCCCAGGTAAAGCCGGATAGTAGAGCGGAAAAAGCCGGCATCCGCATCGGTGACAAAATCAAGCGGATCAACGACATCGATACCTCAACGCTCACTATCCAGGAGGCGCATGAGATCATAATCGAATCCGGAGTTCATCTCAAGATCGCTGTCACTGCGTAAGTTCAAACACAAATAATTAAATTACCCTCTTCCTCTACCTGCTCCTCCTCCTCCTCGTGCTAATAATACCAAAGAAATATAGGGGAAAAAATAAACATTATAACTTTAAGAGGTAACGAGGTAACGAGGGGACAAGGTCATAGACTTGGTGGACTGGTCTTATCTTTCTTGTCTTCTAATGTTAGTTTCATCAACGTAAGCTGACATTGTCTTTTATTTTTAAGGCCTGAAGATGAAGAAGACTCCTACTTCTGCTACCAAGATCCTACTGTAAGTACTCTTGTCTTATTACATAATTACTATTGGTTGCTGCGCACTTTTTTCATAAATGAATGGCGCTTTCTTTTGTAAATTGTAATTACTTTTTTGCATCTTTAAAGTAACCCTTTATTTAATGGCATGTCTACGCCCACACACACACAAGCACGCAAACAAAGGTAAAGATCAGAAAAAACACGTTTCATTACCACATTGCTTATTATATAACGTAGTTACTTCTATAAGTGTGTGTTTGGAGATACAGAACATAGATCTATTTTTTTAGTACAGTCTCCAAGAAGTTAACTTTTGGTTATACGTTTAACAACACACTTTCAATAATAAACTGGCGTAATCAGTAAATTACCATAACTGGGACTTTTATTAAATCAATAAAAAGTACGAAATAAAACTAATACATCAATTTTAAAAGGCATATTGCTATGTACGTTTTTTAAATCTGTCACATTGAAGTCTAGGAGGTGTTTGCTGCAGTTGCTAACAAAATATACGTCAAATTGACGCCTCAATCAAGATAAAATTATTGTTAACGATGGATTTTCAAAGGATCTCAGAAAGGAGAACTCATCACGGTCATTAAAGCGATATTTTATATCCTTAACTTTGAAGGGAGTTATAAACTTTCATGAAGCTAATATTGAACGTTGGCAGTTGCTAATTAATGTATTAAACGTAGAATAATTCATATCCGAAAATTGGAACAGTCGAGAATCGTGAAGGCGTGACAGTTTTGCGAATGGCTTTTCTACGAATATTGCCCACGCTGTTGTCTTATGAAAGAGATCATTATGTATAACATATAACATAAAAATGGTGTTGTGAAGGCGTTGAAGGATAACTAAAAAGCATGTAAATTTAGTTACAGCCTACACTGGTTTTGATAAATTTATTAGGTAGGTAGGTATAATGTTTTCTTGTATGCTTTTTGTATGAAATAAATATAAACTCCCAATGTGTAACAATTGCGAAAACCTAAGAACTTAATTTCCACTTTGTTAGAAAATAATAGAGTTGTTTATTTCATATTATCAATGTCACAATATTACAATTTTATGATACAATCATAAAATGTAAAAGACAATCTTATTAAAGGTTAATAAGATTGTCACTAAAATAAACAATAATAATGACTATAAAATTAAAAAATAGTATAATAGTATAACTAAAAAAACAAATTAACTTGTAATATTGCACAAATATAACAACATTAAACATAAAAATAAAATTAAAATTACTTTGAAAGGTGTAATACCTCTGCAATGTACAATTCATAATCTAATAAAAAGAATTTCAACCGGGTATAAAAAAAACATTTCGTCGTTTGTAAAGCTTTTTAGATTTGCAAGTAGATGTTCGTAGAATTTTTAGTTACGACCATAGTATAAAGTCCTACGGGATTCTCTTGTGGAGTAAAGCGGAAGGCATTCAAACCATTTTTGTATTGCAAAAACGAGTGATTCGTTCTGTGTGCCGTTTAAACTCCCGTGTTTCTCAGAGAAAAGTTTAATGAGACTGGTATGATGACTGGGGCATCACAGTACATTTACTGTAATATTTCGTATGTCCGTAAAAATATATATATAAATCATTAAGAAAGCAGATGTCCATAATATTAACCTTATAGAACTAAGTCCAAACTCATGGTATCACGATTTCGTTTAACTGGTAAATGATTCTATTATGATGAAGTGTATAATATTTTACAATATAATTCGGGAGCATATTATTAAGATTATCATTTCCTAAGTTTATTTTTTTATTTTATTATTTGGAAGATTTACAAATCTCCATAAGTAGTACAGAAAATAGGTTATTAAGATCTTAAAACCTGTATTAAAATTATTTTAATTGAAAACTACGTGTTAGATAAAGATGTAGGGAAAGACGGCATGACTCTAGATTCGACACCAATTTGATTCAAAGTGTATTGTTTTTAAGTTTATTTGAAACGAGCAATTCCTAGAGTTTCTTGCTCGTTCTTCTCAGGGAAAGAACAGTGAATTTATTTTACCAATGGAATAAATACTTATTGGTTTTAAATTTGGCGGATTTCTCTCGGATAGGTAACAAGTTATACGTTCCAGGTTAGTTTCAAAACCAATACCAAAATTTCGTCACCCAACAAGCATATAAATTGGAGCATCGGTATGCGACCTGTAAATTACGCCACCGGTGGTTCAGTATCACAAAAAAATATTTTATATAATAAGCCTATAATTAAAGTGATTAACAATCCCAAAAAGACGTCGGAGTCGGTGCCAATGAGACGAATAGCCTCGATTTGTCACCCGCAAATAGACAGTCACGAGTCGCCACTCCTCTTAATTTGATTACTGATTGGCAGCGTCATTGTGACAGCCACACATCTCATTCACGGCGGGCGTGTGGATTCTTTTGTTGGTAATAAATAACAATATGATGCATAAAATAAGGTTTTATTGTGACTCCAATTCCTACCCTTGGTATAGTAAAGCAACATGTGATAATACGTCATAAATGTTTTTAACAAATTCATAAAAATATAAGAACTACATGACACAAATTACTAATTAACGTATAATTTTCTAGCTCTCGTATTTAAGCACAAATACTTTTTTTATGATACCATGTGACATGGCGGACAAGTCGTGTACATGGTGAAAAGCTACGGCATTATTATTAAATCGCAAATATCTGTGGGTCACCATGAGACCAGCATCGTTGCCTCTCAAAACCGGACCACAGTCATGATCATATTACTGCTTGGCTACAGGCCATAGGAGTCTAACTACCTCAAGTTATAATTACAGCAGAAGACTTTCTTGTGAAAGATTTTGTTCAGGGAAGTACTGTCATCTTACCTATTTCTGCCGCCAAGCAAGTAATGTCAGCATTTCTGTGTTCCGGTTTTGAAGGGTTAAGGGTACTGGTGAAATTACAGGCACAAGGGACTTGTCAACGTATGTCTCAGGGTGTCGGGCGCTGTGGCAGTGCCTCTCAGATCATTGCGGTTTAAATTTGAAACTGTTGCGACAGGCGTGCCGCTTACATGCAAAGTATCGTGTAAGAAATAAGGCCGTGACACACAGGGCTAAGAGCGTTTTCTATAACGGAACCTTAAATTTTACTCCAATAAATTATGATTAACGGGATCTAATAATTCTATGTCAGACTATTACAGTTCAATTTGCGAGGCATTGTTGAACATAAATAATTACACTGTTCATAAATCTTATATTATTTGGAATATTTGTTGAAACCACGTATTCATATACACCCCGTACCTTACACAACATAACACCCGAACTAAATCAAAATATAGCAATAACTCGTTTACAATCCATTAAGGGCAACAATAGAAGAACAGCGTCTAGACAAATGGCCGCAATAAGATATTTCATTGTGTGTTATCATTCCCTTACATTACGGCTCTTATAGAAAACATTCTGGTAAATGCTTTTTAAGCCTGTTCTAAAACGAATTGTCTTTTTTAAAATGAATATACTTATTGTTGACACAAATATCGAACAAACACAAAGAAAAATTAACCACTACTGTTGCCTCAACGTGGCTACCGAGCTACGGAACAAACCAGCAGATCTTATAAATTTCTCTAGGTGGTTGTTGCGAATTTTTGTAATGGTTTATAAAGGGTTTTTTTTGCCGTACCGCCACCTCAACTTAACCTTACATAATTCTGCCGCAAAGTAATAATGGTAGCATTACTGCGTTCCGGTTTTGAAAGGTAAGGGTGCTGGTGCAAGCAGTGTCGCTTGTCACAAAACATTTTATAGAAAATATTTTCTACGTGTCAACATCTGTACAAGTTGTGGTTTCATAAATAAATGAATAATGTATCGAGTTTTTCGTATATTTATCGCGTACATAATCGCGTATATTTGTTTTTCAAACAAACCAATTTCGGCCCTTTGACATATTTCAGTTTTTTGTTGACCATGGACCTGTAAAAAAAGTTTCATTCCTGAACGAATTACGATTTATATAAATAGGAGAGTTGAAAAGGTTTATTAATGGAAGTGCATGACTTAAAAAGATTGAAGAGAGGTTTGTTAGAATCGTGTAAAGTCAAAAGGCGTGTATACCCTACATATGATGTCTGTAGTTTTTAATATTGTTAATATTCGCGTCGATATCGTCCAAATTTACTCGAATTATAGGCGACGAAGAGGTCTCATCACGCCTTGAACCTCTGCAACTGCGTAGAGATGTTGCATCGCTTAGCGCCTTTTACCGCATGTACCATGGTGAGTGCTCTGAAGAGCTGTTCA